TTTGATAAAAATGAATGCTTTAGAATTTAATTAAAATTTATTCTTACATATTTTAATTTTCCAAATAATTAAATAATAAAAATGGAAACAAAATATATACCAGCTTCCATTGTATTCATTCTCTCTAAGTCCATGAAATAAAACTGTCAATGTGTAAGCATGCTGGTGTCACCTTCAACATAAAATGAAAGTTCTTAATTCAACTCAAATCCTTTTCAAGAATAATTTTTTTCTCCAGTTTTTCCATTCAGCAAACATTTATTGAATCCTGTATATATTAAGCACTGTACAACACATTTGCTTATTAAGCAATTTTTCTCATCCTTTAGACAAAGCATCAGATAAAATATCACTTCTGCCTAATGACACATACCCAAATAATATAGAGTACTAGTGTTTGCTTCAAGGTGCCAGTCTCCATTCTTGCTAGTATTCCAATTCAATGGATTTGAGGAACCATTCCTCATATCAATAATATTAAACATATCAGGATTTTGAGTGAAGTTATGTGATATAATTACATAGTCTTCTTCCTATAAAAGTTTGTAGAAAAATGTTACTTGTATGTTAATATTCTTCATATGACACATTAATTTTAATGATATATAGTTAGCCCCTATATTATGTTAAGATTTAAAAGTTTTGGCTTTAGTTTGTTTTTTGTCTTGAATTTCTATTTTGTTTATTAACATTTTACATGTCTATGACAATAATGCTAGTTCTGTCACTAAGGCAATGAAAGGATCTCTCTCTCTCTCCTGTGTGTATGTATATATATACACATATACATTAAGTATACACACGTATAGTGTATATATATGCATACACACATATATATGTGATGTATGTATGTATGCATACATTTAGAAAATATTTAAAAAATTGACAGATACAATTGTAGACAATATTTTATTTCTATAATGTTTAAAAATATTTAAAACAATGCTGCACAAATGTGTAGTATAAGTGGAAGAACATGTATAAGATGGAAAACATCCAATTCAGGATACTGGCTACCATTAGAGGTGGAGAATAGGAAATGAGATGACAGTAAATAATACAGAGGGCTTCCACTTCATCTACCTTTTTTTAATATAAATTAGAAAGTAAATATTCACAGAATGTTAGATTTAGATAGAGTTAGGTAGTGGCCTTTTTTTTTTTTTTTTTTTTTTTTTTGAGACAAAGTCTCACT